GATTATCAGCCAGAATGGGCGAAGAGCAATTCTCCTCAAATAAAAACCATTTTCTCTAAATGCCACCCAACATTTAATCAATGTATATAGTCAAAGTTATATAAAGATGTAAAGTAGATTTGAATCATTTGTTTTCTGGGGGTACATTTTGCAATGCTTTTAAATACTCCTTGAATGGTATAGAAGGAAGGAATATTATTTATGTGTGTTTGGGAAGATTTTATTGGAATAATTAGTTATTCCTGCTTCCAAATTTTTATAGGCTTATATTGTTGGAGCTCTGTTTTATGGCATAAAATCCTGGAGTCCAAAATGTCTATTTTCCATATGTTTGAATGTGCCTATTATTACTCATTTTAAAAACCACAATAATGTTTTCAATGATACCTAATGTTCAGTGAGCCGTACTGGGTGCCAGGGGTTGCACTAAGGATGCTGTCCAGTGCATCATGCAGGGTCATCTCTGTGGGCATTCCTGGGGAAAGTCTCTGTTAACTGTTAGTATCAGGAAAAGCCGTTCTTCTAAGTACTTGGTGTTTGTCTTGTGGACAAGAGCGTCCTACACAGATCTCTTTGCTTTAGCTCCCAGGAAACTCAGAGCAGAATTGGTCATCCTCTGCTATCAAGCGTAAGGGTCATTAGGCATGCAGTCTTAAGAATAAAGTAGAATATAACTAGATAAATGGATAGATGGATGGATGGATGAATGATAGATAAAAGATAGATAGATAGATAGATAGATAGATAGATAGATAGATAGATAGATAGAAAAAATAGAGGCAAAATCAGCCCTCAGTGGTCTCCTTTCATCTCTCTTTGTCCTTTGCCCTATGGACTAAAACTTGAAAACTTAACGGCTTCTTATTCCAGAGCCTGGAAGTCAGAAAATCAGGAGGTTAGCATCTTGCTCTTTCCATGGACCTGTCTCCCAGGGCCGTCTAAGCAACGCTTTCCATCAAAACTACTTCCAGAAAAGAATGTGGGCATCTAATCCACACCAGTAGCAAACAATTGATAACAGTGTAACCTGCAGTCTTTCTCAGAGTCTTGCACAGTTTATTGGACTATAAACCAAAGGAATGCAGCTCTCAATGTGAAATTTGAGGAGTCAGAACAGGAAGGCACCTGGGGGCCAGGGAGGGGCAGGGCCTGCACAGTGGCCCCTTCCAGACGCTGCTGCTGGGCAGCTGTACGTGCGTTCTTCCACCAGCTGCCACAGTCTTGGCCTGCAACTACCTCCTCTGCCTTGTCTGACCAAGACTGCCATTCTTTAGGGATAGGAGAAGCATCTCCCATGTTTGCTGACTTTTCAGTCCTCTCTGCACTTCTTATCTCACCTATCCCAGTAGGCTTTGTCCAAAGAAGCCATCAGTGCATGACGGCAGAATTAGCGTTTGTCCTGAGCAGCACAAAGTAGCTGAGGGGTGGGGGAGGCAATGGAGACCTTGGGATGGAGCGCACACATCAGCTGGTGGGCCTGCTTTCAGGTAACTCGTTTCATGCCCCAGCACCACTCAGTCTGCACCATCTCAGCACGACGGCTGTGATCCCTGCTTCCGCCCTCAGCCCTGCCAGCCTTCTCCTGCCTCGCCCAGTGTCCCCCTTCCAGCCTTGGCAAGACCTCTGAGAATGTGGCAAAGTGGCAAGAGCATGAGCACTGGCATCCATTCCAAGGTCTGCACCAGACCAGCTGTGAGATGTTGGCTATATTCCTTATCCTGCTGAGCCACGGTTTTCTCATCTATAAAACCAAAGGAATGGCACCTGGGTCACGAGATTATGAAGAGGCTCATGAACGAAGCATAAATGAGCTCATATATATACAGCACTTAGCATGGCAACGTAGCATGGCCCTTAGTAATGCCCTTTTCTAAGAGCAGGGACTGTCTTCTTCATCCCGGGGACAGGGATGGACCAGGGTTCTTTCTGGGCAATGAGTGGGCTCTTGCTCTCTGCCTGTCTTGAGACACTGTTGGAAGGAAATCTAAGCTCCTTGTGACCGTCCAGTGTTACAGTCCAGGAAACTGATACCCAGAGAGAAGAAGGAATTTCTCTAGGCCACTTGGCCTCTTAATAGAGGAAATAGACTTGAACCTGGGGTTGCTGGCCTCCCTCCTAAGGCCTGTTACTGAGGTTTTGGATTGGTGATGTCATGGGAGAGTGAAGCAGGACCTGTAAGTCATACTTGCCTTACAAAGCTCACATCAGGCGTTGCCTCCCATGGAAGGCTGCCCTGACCTTCTCTCCCCTATGCTGAGCCTGATGGCTCCGGGCCAGGGTTCCCACCATGCCCTAGGCTCTCATTCATCCCTAGGGATACTCTGACATGGGTGACGTGCTCTAGGGCTACCAACCAGAAATTTAAATTTACAAAGAAGGACCTGTGTTTTATTTCCTCACTCCAGCATTAGGCAGAGAAGCGCTTAGAAACTGAATGAATGAGTGAGCATACGTCAAAGCAGTTGGTCTTTATAGATTCATAATGCTTTTAACAAAGACTCTCCCCTCCTGCGCTCTCTCCCTACTGATCCTGCCTTTCTGCTACATGAAGATCTCTGACATCGAGAGCCGGATCTCAGCCCTGACCATTGCGGGATTAAACATAGCGCCCTGTGTGCGTCTCACACGAAAACGAGACCAGAAACAAAGAAATCAGGTGCGTTTTGTCCCTCACTCCCGGTGTGGGAATTGTGCACAGCCTGAAGATTTTAGAAGATGAAATATTTTCGGCTGTGAGAAGGTGTGTTGATTGCTGTGTTCTGTTTGTAGGTACAAACTATAGACACGTCAAGGCAGCAGAGGAGGAAACTGCCCGCTCCACCAGTGAAAGGTATGCGTAATTATTATAAAACCACAGAGCTACCAGAGAATTAAACCTGGCTCATTTCCTTTGAGTAACTCAGCGGTCTGAGTTTGAGGATCAGATCCCCTGGGGAGTTCTCACCCAGAATCGCTCCTGGGGAGAGCCTGTCTTGACTTGGATTCCCCCAAGAAGCAGCCCCTGGGACAAGGATGTGAGTGCAAGTAGTTTATTTAGGAGGTGATTCCAAGAGGCACTAGTAGGGGAAGAGAGAAATGATTCAGGGAAGGAAGTGAAGCCAATACAAGGTGCTAAATACGGCTGGGCATTTCTGGGAGACAGTAATGGCTGCACCTCAGAGTTTCCTGCCCAAAGAGTAGGAAGATGAGGTATTTGAGCTCTCATCCGTCATGGCGGGAGGTTCCTCCTACAGGGCCATTAACTCCCCGGTATTTCTGATCTGCCCCATGCATGGATGACAGAGTGGCAGTGCTTGCAGTAGGATGCTGTCAGAATGTGCTGGAATAGTGACTGTCAGGGAGATGTGGGCAGAGCACCAAAAGCATCTAACAGAGTGCCCACCCTTGAAGGGATGCCAGCGATGCCGGTTGCATCACTCTTATCTTGGGCATTTTCAATGATTTCCCTGGATTCAGGAGCCACATCATGATGATGCCAAATTAGAAATTTAGATCTACATGTTAGAAGTGTAGAAAGTCAGAAGATACCTGCCCAAATCTTGGTTCTACCGTTTAGTATTCAATAGACATTCATTGAATGCCTACTTTACATGCCACAAACGCCTATACAATTAAAATTTATTACAGATTCATGATACCTTATTTGAAATCCTTTGGTCAATATGTGTTTCAGAACTTCCTGGGCATTAGAAAGGTAATATTGTGTATTTCAAAACAGCCCCTGCCCCACGGTGTCTGGGGCAGCATCTGATAAACAATCAATGTCCTTGCAGGAAAGCATGAGAATGCTCACACTTGGTGGGATGACAAGGACTTCAAAGGGCCACACATCAGTTCAAGTCAGGTTTTGTCATCAGACCGTTTTGGCTGCAAAGTTCTAAATGTGCAGTTTTTAGCGCTTTTTCTATTTCAGAATTGTAAACAAGAATTTATGGGCTCTATCGGATTATCTCCAAGCTACCTTTTCCCAGAAAGCCATTAATGATGAATTGATTTGGTTCATGATAAAAAATAAACACAAAATAAAAAGATTCCACCATCAGACCTGTAGATCAGAATGAGATTCCAAGTCTAGAACAAAAATCTGGTCTTTCTCCCTTAACAATCGGTCCAGCTTCTAGGTGACACCTATTCCCATTTGTTTCCTTTTAGCTGAAAAAATTGAGGCATCTTCAGTGACGACCATTAAAACATTCAATCGCAACTTCATTCTTCAAGGCTCCTCGACAAACAGAACTAAAGAAAGGAAAGGCACCACCAAGGATTTGGTGGTGAGTGTCATCTCTGTCCGGATGCCCGTCACTTTCACGGTAGAGGGTCCCTGCATCCTGTAGTCCTTCTTTCTGCAGCTTCCGCATCGGAGCCCCAAGCAGAGTCCTTCCCGCGTGGTCTCGTGGTCTGTTGGTTGGGGGTGGTGGGATGTAAAAGAAGCGACGAACACCATGCCTGGTATTGCCAGCCTCTTTGATCTGTGGCTACATCCACTCAGTTATCTCTCCAGCTCCTTGTAGGAACCAGATTTGATATAAGAGAAATAAAAACACATACCCAGGAATGTAAGGTCTGGTTGAGGTGTAGGAGTTTTTATTCTGTTTTTGAATCGTATTCACTCTTCCTTAAGTTTCCTGTCAGCCATTACTTACTTGTGTTCCTGAAAAAAAGTCAGCAGCTGCCCCTTAATGAGGCAAAGGAAAGGACAGAAGATAACCTGCACAAACTCTAGAGGCCATTGGATTGTTTGCCTGAACACCACCATGTGCTTCAATGTTGGCAGATGCTTGGTGCTGCTTATGTGGGAGATGATCCAGAGAAACTGCCTCAGTGGCACCCCTCTGCTAAGGGCAGAAGGCATCTCCGGTGACAAGATTAAAGCAAGGACAAACTTATTCTGTTGCCTTTTATGCCTCACCTGTCACTCCCTTCCCCTTCCTCTTTCTCCTTGTCCTTGTCTCCTGAGCGCAAAAGCACCAGGTAATGGCATAATGATGGTGGGCATGCCGTTTTGAATTACAAATGACTGCATCTATCAGACGCCATATGGCAATGGCAACACGCTGCCCTTTGTCTTTCCTTCATTGGTCAGCCATTACCACTGACCTTTCAAAGTCCAATTACCTTGCTCCTGGCCATTACTGCAACGAGCTAAAAAGATTCATTGTTACACTAAAAGGGCAGACCACTAGGGCCAGGGAGGGAATCTGTTATAAATCAGATAGTTAAAAATAAATTACCTTTCATAGAGCTAGAACATAGATTGGTGGCTGCCAGGGGCTTTGGGAACGAGAAATAGGAAGAAACTACTCAGTGGGTAAGAGGTTTTACGCGCAATGATGGAAATGTTTTGAAACTGCATGGAGGTGGTGGTTGCACAACATTGTGAATGGACTAAATGTCCCTGAATTGTTCACTCCAAAATGGTTAGTTTTATGTTATATGAATTTCACCTCAATAAGTTATTTTTTAAAATAAATTACCTTTAAATAACACAGAGCAATTAAAAATGAAAGAATAGACAATATTTACTAAAGAAGTACAAACAAAAAGGGACAGAAATATTACTTGCAGACAAAGGAGAATTTAAGCCAAGGAGCATTTAGCAAAAACAAGAAAGGAGGATGTTTTGATTTTGATAAAGAAAAATAGTCACTCATGAGCCTTTCTTGATTTGGCAAACAATAGAGCAATACAATTTATTGTGCTATGGCTGGTGACTTTAAAATTCCCTTAATTAAGGTATGTACCTAACTTTCTACTTTACAGAGGACTCTCTTTCCAAACATCAATGGACCATTTATAAAAACTGACTTTATAGCAGCTACAAAGGAAACCTCAATAAATTCCAAAAAGTAGAAAGTATAAAACTACCTTCTATGACCCCAATGCCAAAAATGATCTAGAACAGCACACTGTTCAACAGAACTTGCTGAAATGATGGAAATGCTGTGTATTTGTAGTGTCCAATAGAGCAGCCACCTGTGGCTATTGAGCACTTGAAATATGGCCTTGGAGGTACTGATTTTTATGTTCTTATTTAATTTTAATTAATCTGAATGTAAATCACTACAGTATATAAATAGCTTCAGCAACTACCATGTTGGACAGGGAAAATCTAGAAAATTAGAACAAAAGTTAAAAGAAGCAGAAACCTTACTTGTTGGATTTATAAAGCATGTGCGCCCATATACACAACTATACATATATACAAATGCATACTCTCACACACACATTTCCAAGGAACTATGAATTAAAGAGAAAAGCAAATCCACAGAGCATTTAGAAAATGAAAACGTTACATATATCAAAACAAATGGGAGACATATAGAAATACACTGAGTCAAATTCATCGTATTAAATTTTTTTTTTATTATTAAAGGAGAAGCAAACTAATGAGATACACATTGAATTCCAGACATCAAAGATAAATGCAGGAACCAATTCATTAAAATTAGAAATCTATCGACATGATTGTAAACCCAAGAGTTCGTTCTTTGGAAAAATAGAAAAATTCTGTAAGCCCAATCAAGAAAAAAGAAATAAAATAAAAATAAGAGATTATAATAGCAATATGAATTTTTTATTTAAATATATAATGTGATGTAAATCTTAAGTCTTATTTCTAACCAAATCAGAATATTAGTAAAATGTGGCTTATGAAATAAAATTTTTAAATTTATTAAACCTTCAAAAAAGGATTCTCTGGCCAAGTGGTTTTGCTGATAACTTTTTAAGGAACAGTTAATTCCCATGCAAAATAAAATGTTCTAGAGCATTAAAAAAAAAAGAAAGAAAGAAAACTAAAAGATTTATGTTAGAAAGCTACTATAATGCCAGCTACCATAGCCTGACATGGCCGGTAAGTGTGCACAGGGGCTCCATGCCCACTCACACACCCAGGCATGCGCAGACATACAAACCACCCACCGATCGAACTTCTTCAGAGAGGTGAAGCATACTAAATAAAATCTCAGCAAATTAAACACAGCAGCAGCTTAAATGCTAAATCACCAGGTAAATTTCACAGGAACGCAAAGGTCCCTTTACTATTGAGATGTTGATGAATAACTCACACCAATAGTTCAATAAGGAAAATCATTTCTCAAATTAATTTATGGCTTAATCCAATTCCCATAAAAATCTCAGCGGGACTTTTTTAAAGTTCACATAAGAATAAATCAGAAAGAATAGACAAAAGCATTTTGCAAAGTTGGAGTGATTTTCCTGCCAGATTGTTAGAACAAATTAAAAGCTGTAAAGAAATGGATGATTAATGGAATAGAATAGAAAGCTCAGCTACAAATACAGGCACATGTGAAAACATGTTTATGATTTTTTTTTTTTAAGCATTAGGAACCAGTAGAGAAACGGTCTAGATTACTTTAAAAAAACAAAAACAGCACTGTGCTTGGGAAACAGGCCAAGCGGCTGGGAGTCGGAAGGGAGTCAGTCTGCCCTAGTCCATATACCGCAGTACATTGCGGACGGATTCAGATGCACAGGTAAAAAAAAAATGCATCGCTTTTTAAATATTGTGAAATATTTATCTGGTCAATGAGCATGAATACCTTTTATGATGTTAAAAAAAAACAACAAAAAACAGTAGACGTTTTTAATTGCATGTCCTCACTTTTGCCAAGTGGCCAATGACTGTGCTGGTTGTGTCGCCCCAGGAGCCCACTTTGGAGTCTGCTGTAATGTATTAGCGCCATGGAACTCCACTGCCAGTGACCCCACTGCCTCCGGCCCGACACGACAGTGCCTTGACCCAACAGCCATTGAGTACTGTATGGATTTCCACCTGAGGAGGAGGTCTGGGGAGGCCACGTGCAGCATTGCGAGGGCTGTCCTGACACCTCACCCAGAGCGCAGTCCCACTCAGCATTGAGGTCTCGCCCACTCTCTGCCTTAGGCTCCTGGGGGAATCCAAGACAGAAAACCATGATGCTGGCTTCCAACAGCAGAGCTCCACGTCCAAAAGATGCATCATTTCCCTGTTCGCTTTGCTACTGTGTGTTGTCTTTCCCGTCTTTTTTTTTTTTTGATCCCATTGATTCAACTAGAATGACATGACAATTTGTCCAAAGGAAAATTGTTGGGGTGGAGGAAGGGGTGATGGTATTTAATTCATCATGGATTCTTATTCATCTCTCACAAGCATCTTTGTCTTGCAAATGCTAGGGTGAAAATGACCTTGTAGTGAGCACCAGGGACTGTCAAATTTGGGGAGTGCTCAACCATCAAGGGTGCAGGTCCCCCTTCAGCCACCTCCTCTCTGCTAAGCTCCTAGCCCACCGCATCACCAGTCATTCCCATTGCTTTGCAATCACAAGCCACAGACTGGGAAGCTCTGACTCCCCCACGCCATGCCCAGGTCTGTCTGAAGCAATGGCTCACTGAGAATTTAGGTTCTTCCTTGAACTGACTGTGACCCCACTCTGAAGGGGAGAGGGGCTTGAGAAAGCCCAGCATTGGTTTAACTGTAGGGCACGATCCAGAATCAAGATGAGGTGGGTTAGCAGTGACCGCATCTAAATAAGATTTAGGCAAATGGATTATCGCAGACTATAACCTTACGTCATCCTCCAAAATTTATTTCCCAATAACTATTCAGCAAAAGTAGTAAAATGACCTTAAAGACAAAAAAAAAATGGTTAAGGAACAGCCTTCGAAAACTTTACAGGTATGAAAACAAGCAAGGACAAACTGTGAATTTAATGGACACAAGAGTTGACACTAACTCCATGTTTCCGGTCTCAAATGCATGACTCAAGTATGTTTATAAAAGCAAATGGAACTGGAATTTCACTCAATTCATTGTGTATTTGTAACCTTTTTTATTTGCTCCTGGTATATTCTGAATGTGAGGAAAAAGGCAAAGATGGGAGGCAAGAGAATAGTGTGACTGATGTTTATTCTCATTTTAATCCTTACAGCAACCCTATTCAGTAAGTATCCCCATTTTTCAGGTTTGGAAACCGAGGGCCAGAGAGACTAATTTGCCAAAGTCACGCCTTTAAGCTAACTATAGTTAGAATGGCTCGCAAGAGCCTCACTCTGTGTTATTTTCAACTTCAATGTTCTTTCGCTGCTCGGCACAATCCCAGACCCAATTTGCTGCTGAAATGTGTGTTATGATCCATTCCTGGTGTGGGAGGCGGGGTCTACCTATCGTCAAGAACACTTTTTGCTGATGCTGTGTGTGTGTTATCCAACAGAAACGATGCCTTTGAAATAAAGGAAATCTTTGGCTTTGTGTTCTGTTGGTGAGATTCAAAGCAAACAAATACAAATTTGAAAAACACAACAAAAAAGATCTGAGTTCCAGCTGAACGTTTCCTTTAAGAGGCATGAAACGCAACTACCGTTGTGTTACAGTGTTAAAATATTCAGTTCTTTATGACAAAAATGTGTACTGTGTAAGCCTTGCAAAAAAAAAAAAAAAGAAGCCTGCTCTATGGCATTTGAATTTTTATAAAGGTTTCCTTGTGCCAAATAAGTGCAAAGATTTAATTTACTATTAAAAACCATAAGCATATGTTATAGTTCCAGAAGAATTATTTTGTCATCAAGTGATTTTGATCTCCAGTGTCAATATTTATATTTAGATTAATTTTTATAAATGAAAATATTTTAATGGTTTAAGAAAATGAGGACAGTGGGACCATATCTTTGATGACTTCTGAAAGTTATGCCTGCCTTCCTGTTATATGCACATTGCCAAGAATTACTGTCAAGAGAAATGATACAGAAGTAAAAGTCATTTATGAAAATAATGTTTGTGGGTCTGTGGTTTTTGGGTTTCTGTTTGGTTGGTTGGCTAGGAAACACTGGGAGTGAAGAGGGGATAAGGAAATAAGTCAATGACCAGTCATTGGATGGCTGTTGCTGCAGGACCCATCGTCCTTCCAGTGACACCATTAACCTCTCCATTGCTTCTTCTCCTGAGACCAGAATTCCCCAGTGATCACCTCTACTGAGTGGATCACTCAGGTAAAACCAGCAGTCTCAAAGCAGGGGTCAGTGTGGTTTTGTCTCGTAGGGGACATTTTGACTGTCACATTGCAGGGGTGGGGGGAGCAGGGCAGGGTGTATACTCCCAGCCTAGAGTGGATAGCAGCCAGGGATGCTACTAAACATCCGACAATGCACAGGACAGCACCCACAGCAAAGATTATCCAACTTACAATATCAATCATGCCAAGGCTGAGAAGCGGGGTTAGCCCCTGGAGGTAAGCCTGAACTCCCAGGGAGAAGCCCCCGCCAGCCTCTGCAGGGACTGTGTAGCTGAGCAGGAAGCGGGACAGGGCCTCCCTCAGTTGTTCACAGGCTCAGGGCAGCGGTTGCTCCTCTACTGAAGCCAGACGCTGGCCCCTGCCATCCCCAAATAGGAATAGGAACCCTCCACTAGCCTGAAATGAATGAGTGAACGAAAATACTAACAAGCCGAGAGCCTTTTCTGCCTGGTGATCTAATGCAGTGGTCCTCAACCTGGGCATCAGGGTCATCTGTTAGAACCTAGATTCAAGGGCTAAATCCAGCCATCCACAGTCTTCAGTCTACCTTTCTCTCCACTGTGCCTGGTATAATAATGTGTGCTGAACACTAATGACAGACAAGCTCCATTTAGGCTGACAGGACAGTTCAGATGGGGGAGGTGGGAAGGACAGTATCAGCAG